AGGTTTCTGGGCTATCACTGAGAAACGAGTTTGAGCCCTCTCCAAAGATTGTCTATTGGGTTTAAGTTTGGAGACTGGCTAGGCCATGCCAGAACCTTGATATGTTTCTAACTGAACCACTCCTTGGTTATCCTGGCTGTGTGCTAATCATTCTTCCTCCACAGTTAGTGGAATTCTGACCAAAAAGTTCTGATTTGGTCTCATTAGACCACATGACTTTCTCCCATGACTCCTCTGGATCATCCAAATGTCATTGACAGACTTCAGATGGGTCTTGACATGTGCTGGTTTAAGCAGGGGAACCTTTGTGCCATGCATGATTTCAAACCATGACGTCTTAATCTATTATCAACAGTAACCTTGCAAACGGTGGTCCCAGCTCTTTTCAGGTCATTGACCAGCTCCTCCCGTGTAGTTCTGGGCAGATTTCTCACCTTTCTTAAAATTATTGAGACCCCATGAGGTGAGATCTTGCATGGAGCCCCAATCTAAGGGAGATTGACAGTCATGTTTAGCTTCTTCCATTTTCTAATAATTGCTCCAACAGTGGACATTTTTTCACCAAGCTGCTTGGCAATTTCCCAATAGTCCTTCCCAGCCTTGTACAATTTTGTTTCTAGTGTCTTTGGGAAGCTCTTTGGTCTCGGCCATGTCAGTAGTTGGATTCTTACCGATTGTATGGGGTGGACAGGTGTCGTTATGCAGCTAACGACCTCAAACAGGTGCCTCTCATTTAGGATAATAAATGGAGTGGAGGTGGACTTTTGAAGGTAGACTAAGGCCCCGTCCACACGAAAAAGCTGCATCATACAGATAATTTCAGGCCCCTCTATGATTTCAAAGTGGGAGTACTTGCAAAATAGGGGGGTGTTTAAGTACTTATTTTTCTAACTGTAAATATTACCTCCTGTTAAGTTTCATAAGCAGCAGATTTTCATTGCAATCGTTCCTTCTGGGTGACCACCACTGCTGTTCAGGTCGCACTTATTCATTTTGAGATTACTATAGTGGTCAGTCATTGAAATTGTGTATTGGGCTTTTATTAATCTTTTTGTTTTATTTTCTCCTTTTTACTAGTGGCATATGGACCTTAAAATGTAACTAAGTAAAATAATTTTATAAATAATCATTACAACCTAAACAAAAAAAATCCCTAAAAATGTTTTAATTCAAAACATGGATAAAAATCATCCCCTTATAGTAATGCAAGTTAATATAATTTGTTGAATTAACTTCTCAATTTTACAGCAGAAAACATTCAGCTGTAAAAAAGCAACAATAGAATTGTGCTCTAAACATTAAATGTACAGTTTGTCCCTTACATAAATTGAAATAATGCTACCCAATGTACTTTATTGCTCCATAACCAATGAGTCATTCTCTTAATTTTGTTATTTTTATAGTCACACTGAACAACTGTGCAAGATAAACCATAATAAGAGAACATATTCAAACTGCAGGTGATGTAAAACCTTCTTAACAACTCTCAGCAGTTTTCAGTGATGCACTTAAAGGAAGTCATTGTAAAATAATTTCCGGTCAATTAAGTAATACATGAGTAACTATTTTACTGCTGCCAAACTTTACATTGGCTTGCTTCTCTCATAAAGTCCTAAAACAAACATTCATGCTACAACACAGTCAGGATGTGACGCTTATCAGACCAACATCTCAGCTAAGATTGTTAGTCATAAAACATTGTTTTTAATCTTTTCAGAGCAGAACGTGCTGTTCATGAGAACCGCCACAAACCTGACAGGAAGTGTTGAGCCATTGTCAACAGGTGAGTGGGCAGCTGTCATCATCAGACAGGTAGCTCGGTTAAGGAGTGGCCCTGGCTGCTGCCGTCACAGTTAGTCGGTGAATAATGCCTGCAGGTATTTCCGCTCAGGGCTCGGCCCACTCACAAGAAGGCGCGGGCGATGAGAGGAGCCAACCTTCTCTGCAGGAATGATGTGGGAGGTTAACCCTCCATGTGACACAGGAAACTGATAGGAAGAATTTTACAAGATGTGCTGATGCTTTCATCTCTGGTTTTTTTCCATTTTGGCCTGTTCTGCGACTATGAAAGGTGGACTAATAGACATCAGGATATTTTAAGCTAGACAGCAGATTTTTTTGGCTTATGAAGCACTCCTGAAAATCACTTTTTCTTTAAACAAAATGTTAATTTATTCAAAAATAGAAACCTAAGGTTTAAGGTATATATTGCTTCAACAAAAAAAAAATGGCAACTGACAAAATGCTCAATGCAAAATTGCATAAAAAAGTTATTTGAGTTCTTTCCTTTTACTATGAGTTTTTACTCTACAACAAATAAGTTGCAGGCACAGAGAGGCGTTTAAGTCAGAGATACTTTCAAACCACCATGTGTTTTCAATCTCAGCGCTCTGGCTCTTTTCACTCTCCAACTCCCAAATGCTCCAGAAAATAATCCAACTGTGTTTTTTCTCCAGTTTTCTGGAAATGACCTAACTACTGCCAGGAAGAGGAATGTGAAGAATTCCCTGGAGCTGGGAGTGACGTCAGAACACTGAGGAGGCCCCTTTGCATCCGCCAGCCTGGATATTCCAGAGTACACTCAAACCCAAACTCCCAACAGCTGGAGTCAACTGCTGCCTTGCTCCAGCTCCAAAAACACTCCCTGAAAACACCTCCACCCCCCACCACCATCTGAGAGACAGCTCCCCACATCTGTACTTCGTGTTCTTACTAGTATGGCTTAGAATAGTAAAGTATATCACAATTAAAAGACAATAAGCAGTTCAAAATAACTTTTTCTAACAAGAAATTGAGTAGTATTTGAAAACACCTCAGAGAGATGTTTTTTTTGTTTTTTTATTTTCTTTTTTTACTTCTTGAGGTATTTTAAGTTTTGCATTGAGTAACTTTTTTCTGTGTATTCTTTGAGCACTGGCCAAGAAATCATTTAGAAAGAAAACACACACTGATTCTGTAACCAACTCTCACCCTCCCCTATTTCTGTAGCTATTTTAGAAACACAATTCATCTTAGTTAGTAAAGCAAAAGCTAAAACAAGAAATTACTTTGGCTGCAGGTGCAAAGTTTTTAACTGTCTGATATAATTGATAATTTTATATTTTAATTGAAAGCACATCAAATCCCAAGATAAAACATTTGGATTTTAAAATTTGGTGTGATATTTTTACCTCCCACATTTGGAAGAGAAGAACTTTGAAAAGAAAACCCAAATAACTGTCTATAGAATTGCAATAATTGCTCACACATATATAACATATCAAATCCACTAAGCGACTATTCACTGGAAAAAAATATCATTAAACATTTCCTTGTAAATCATTTCCAAAAGCTTAAGCCTGACTAATTTTCTGGGAAGCTGTTCAGTGACAGAATTGAGCACAACCATAGAATTTTTCCTGCCCTCTCTGATTGGTTACACCTTTATCTGTTTGTGTAGTTACATTTACAGATATCTATTAACTTCACTGAATGTTAACGCAAGTAAAACCGAACTCTCCAAAAAGGGAAATAAAGGCTTTATCTGCAGGACCAACGTTTACAGAAACAATATAGTGTGTATTGCAAAGTTAACTGTTTTGATTTCCCTTCTATGTAGGTGAGGATGTTCTACAGCGTGGAAACAAAATCAGAAAACATAGGGGGTCCTTGATGGGAATAATGAATGGGTATGAAAGGAAGGAAGGAAGTTCAACAGCTGGGAGCTGGTGCAGAAACATTAGCCTGCTAAATGACTAAAGCATGGGCAATGTAAACAATACAAAGGAGATAAACATAATCTTTCAAACTGAGCCTCAACTCCTCAACATGAGCAAGCATTTAGTACAGATCTCAGATAGCATTAGAATCCTGGAAAACTGCAGATCTCTGATGACCTCATCTGGCTGACTGACACCACATGGATCGAGTAACAGGCCGAGTAGAGGCTGCACTTTATGAGGAAAGTGAAACAAGCATTGTCCCCCAACCTGCATCCGGAACACATTCTAGAAATTCAGCTGCAATAGAGCAAAGAAGAAAGCCCAGGGCATAGCAGCAGCTGCAGAAATATGGCCATTAAGGGTCATGCAAATTTTTTTTTAAAACTAATATTACGATTTTATGTTGAATTTCTTCTGCTGTAACCGCAAAAATGTTCATGTTTGGGTACAAAGTGCCACTATGTTCATGGTTTCAGATTTAAGAGCCCATTTACTTCTAGCTTCCCTTCCTGCTGCAGCCAGGCTTTGAACCTGGGTCTTTTTGTTACAGTCAAATAGTTTAAATGTCACATGTTTAAGTCAAGCTTTCTCTTGGATGAACTTAACCTGATCTTTTTGCCCACAAATAATAAATTCATTTGAACAAAATGGAAGAATTAAGAAGTGGTGCCTCTCTGGTATTGGAAAAGAAAAAATAAATTGATTAAATATGTCAAATTTTCAAAATAACTTGCAGCCCTAGTTTCATCTGTGTTTTAGTTTGCCTTTTAATATTTTCTCTCTTTTTTGTGTCCTGTTTTGCCTGTTATGGTAATATCTGTCCCAGAGCTAGATGATAGCCCAACAGCTTTGCTTTTACAAGCAGACCATGACTGTTGCCCTAAGGTTCCACTTGGTACTTGCATATGAAACTCATGAAAATGATTTAGGGAGAAAGATTGTATACAATGGAGATTTAAATGATGGAGGTGAGAAAGATAGAGGGGATAAGAATTAAGGGGAGAGAGAAAGAGTGTGTGAAAAGAGGGAAAAATCAAACAAAGCAAAGCTAAGTATCTATTTAATGAGCTTCGTCTTAAAAGTCTATTAGATCAAAGACAAACTGTCAAGTTTAGTTATTAAAAATCAGTTGAGAATAACAACACTCCTGCAAAGACAGATTACGCTCGATTATTCAAATTTGGGCACTCAGCACATTTCAACATTCACAGTTGACACTGCAAAATGTGAAACTGCTGATGTTTTAAATAGCAAAGCCCAAACAATAGATAGACGTGACTTTATGGTGTTAACTCTCACCAAGGAGGGAATATGTGGATGACATCTCCTGGTGCAGGAATCAGCTGAGCTGCTGTCTCTCTGTTGAATAACACCAACATCCGAGTCGTTTCCCCGGAGACGGCGTTTCCATACTGGTGGCCATCTCTGGGGGGCTCACAGTGGGCCAGTTGCATGCTACACTCTTCATGGACCTCCAGCACCTCGAGCACAAGCACACCAGGCCGGTCCACTGGAGAGCACAGCAACAAAAACACAGATGTTGAGTGAATGTTAGGTGGTGTGTGTATCTGTGTACAGAGTGTACCAAGGCTCTCTGAGTCTCCTGCTCCTGCGGGATTCAATTAGGTTTTACAACAAGAATTTGCATTCAGAATAAGAAAAATCTGCACTTCATAACTGGTTGAATTGGAAAAGAAACAGAAAATCCCAGAAGGAGTTGGTTTAAATATATTTGGTATTTTACCACATTGCTTTGTGTGTTTTAGCCTAAATTGAGAGAGTGTAAAGAGATAAACAGGTGGGGCAAACTGTGGTAAAGCCCTACAGGCATGCAATAAGTCAAACTAAGACAAGAAAGCAATTGTCTGTAAACTTGACAGCTCCAAGTAAAAAAAAAAAAAAAAAACTAACGGCAGAGGGAGGGGGTAGCAGAACATTGCATTGTGTGGATATGCTAATGGCCAGAGGGGGAATTTAAAATAATAGTCATAAATCACACCAGAGAGACTGCTGCAGCAACTGCAGTTACTTTTTTACACGCACCTTCCCTAACAGGACAAATACTGTACATATTAACACTAAAGCTAGGTTTAAAATGACAAGATTTTCCAGAAGAGTCACTGTTCTTAGACCAAAGGCTTTTAAAGCTCTTAAACTGATTTATATTAGCCATTCTCTGTGGAAGTGGATGGGGATGATCCCTTTTCACGTTTTAGGTAACACTATATATTTTTATTTTTTTCCCCAGCTTTTATTGTCATTACACTGTCACAAGTAAAGAGCAACGAAATTAACCCTCTGCATTTAACCCATCCCCTTGGGGAGCAGTGGGCTGCCATTGTGCGACGCCTGAGCAGCAGTGTGGGGTTAAGGCTCTTTTGCTTAGGGACCCAGAGGGTCAGTCCCCAGGAGTGGGGCTCGTATTCAGAACTTTGCCTCATTCTCAGTATTTCTTTTCCCTCCAAACAGTTTTTTTCCAGAAATGCACTTTACCTGGCTCCTCTTTAAATCAACTCTGATTAGCTTTTTCTTCGAATCCTGCCATTAAGACCACATTTGTCGGCCAATTACGTTGCAGTGTGGTGCCGTGCCCTGTTTGGATTTGAAAACTACTTTGTATGTGGCGGACAAATGCAGTGCAGTTGAAAGGACAGATCTGGTTATATCCTTTCTAGCCTAAGGTATCCCATGAATTATTGCAATTCCTAGCAAAGCGGCTGCTCCATCCTCAGAGGAAAATGCAACGAACATTGGTGATAATAGTGGAAGTGCAAATATGTGCATATTTTTGTCTTAAATTGATGAAAATTGTTCATTTAAATGGGTGGTGAGTGAGATATGTCGCAGGTAATATTGGTTTATTGAAAGGTTTTATGTCTTTGTCAGCCAAATAGGTTTGGTACCTCTGCAGATGCTTCTCGAAAATTAAATGTGCACACAGAACAGGAGTTAGAAGTTCTGTATTGATTCTTTGCCTGCTTTGTGCATCAACTTACATTGTTATTGAGCGACAGAGCTTCCTCTGAGCTAGTGGCGGTGACAGCCGTAGAAGGCTGGACCTGTTCGAATCTATAGCCTTTGGTGGATCCGGTATACCTGGACTGAGTTCTTCAGAGGACGTAACCACCGAATTTGAACACACCCGTGATTTCCCATCACTGCTGAACTCCCTACAGCAGCCATCCTCAATTCCAGTCCAGGGGGTTTCCTGCTTCTTATAGCTGTGTCTCTGCTTTTTCATTGTGTGTTCATTTTCTGTGTAAAATAATCAGGTCATCAGCAGGACTCTGGAGAACCTGACTGAAACTGAGTAATTTAGACATTTATTCAGGTGTGGAAGGTGAGACACATCTAAACGGGGCAACACAACAGAGAACTGGAATCGAGAACCTCTGCTCTATAGCATTATGCTGCCATCACAATGCTTTACCATAAATAACATGCAGTGCTCATTTTTTGTCACACAAAGAATGCTTCATGAAGGCTAGAAAGCTTCATTCTAATCTCTGAGTAACTTCTTCAAAATTGTTGCAGCAAACTGGTTTCTTCTTTCCAATACAGCAGAGATCTGTGGAATGCGCCACTAATAGCTGATCTTTCAACAGGTGGTTGACTTTTCTGTCAATTTTCAAAGGAAAATACAAGACTAAATAAAATTACCGGTAGTGCTCCTTAAGATATTAAAATCTTGAAGTACTGGTTTAAAATCTAAAGTACTTTAAACTTTAAGGGTAGTATTAATGTAAAAAGAATGTCCAACTGTTTAGGGAGCATGAAGAGTTCTGCAAGACACAGTGCCTAAGCCTTTATGTTACATAGAGACACAATAAATTATGAAATACTCTTATTTATGTGTGTATGCAACTCTGCATATGCTAAAACACAAGCATTTTACAGCAACTATAAACAGATATTCTCTACCAAGATGGTCCAGCTGGGTTAAATTGCTGTTTTTGTTAAATATGAGTCAGTGAGTGAGTCAGATGAAAGCGATCAAACTGTAAAAAAAAAAAAGAAAAAAGAAAGTGTTATATGCAGAAGTTTATATTCTAAATCGTCCTGTTAGCCAAGTGACTTCAGCTGTGTGAAAGCTCCACAAAAACAGATTAAATCAAATGCTGATAATGCTTCGAAATGAGGTCAGGTAAAAGTAAACCAACACATATTTCATCCTCTGTGACTGCCCACGAACTCAAAGTTGTATCCGAGGGGCTGTTTTGTTTTTCCATAGTCAACTGTCACCTTAGAGTAAGCCTGTGTCCTAAAATGAGGAGGTACTTAAGAACCTGAACACACTAGTGGTTTAGTATACCACGGAAAGGAAAAAGGAAAAAAAAAAAACATGAACTAGGCAAGCAGTTTCCTGTCACCTACATAGTGAGTTCACAGCTTAGAGTCACAGTAATCAAACTGCAGCCAGTGCTTCCTTCAAGCGGCCCCTCCATATTATCACATTTGAGGAAGGAAAAAGAAGAAGTGTTCACATAAAAAAATTAAAAAATTCAAAGTGACGGACTTCATTGTACTCAGGAATCAGAGTTCAGTACTGAACTTATTAAGAGACATACACCTTCAAGATCCTGATGAGATTTGTTTGACTATGCAGGTTTGTTTGACACGGTTCACCTGTTGTGGTTGTTGCTGTTGAGGACTCAGAGATGGACTTGTGCCTCCAGAAACTGATAGCTGACCTCTGCCTGCACTGGAGTATGTTCAGCCTCTCTGCCAGACCTCCACTGTGGAACACACACACACATAGGGAGATGATGTAATGTGATAAAACTTGCACAGAACATATGACCTAACCAATGCTAGAGTAGATCTGCTTGTTTCAAAGTTAAATAAAAGCCTTTCTGATGTAGGCAAATAAGTCTGCAGATAGCCATCTGTCAGATTGTAGGGCTTAAACGACATTTAGCACCCACATGATGACACCAGGTGTCCCTTTCATCATCCCTTCTGCAGTGGAAACATCGCAATCAAAGTTTGACTTTCACCTGGCAGAAAGCAACATGTCTCGCCTTTCTTTGTAGAATTTGCTTGTTCCTATCATGAAGCAATACACTGTAGCAGTTTATACAGTAAATGGCTTTGTTTAAGGTGATATCATTATTTTCATTTCCTTAATATATTCTGTTGATTATACGAGTTAAATCAAAACAAACAGCTCATAACTGTGAAGCAGAAGGTAGATAGTGGTTTAAAGTTTTTCCCCTCAATATTAAAATCAAAACATGTGACTTCCTTTGCATTAAGCCCTCTTTACTTTTACTTTCTTAAAAACCGTTCTAACCACTTGCCTTCAGAAATCTAACAAGCAATCAGAGTAAATCTGCAGGCAATCTAAAGTGAACAGATAATATAGTGGCTATGTGAGGGCTTCAAGAGTTTAGTATAAATGAAGTCATCACAGACAGGTCAGAGGTCACCCAAACCCGACAGGCTGGAAGGGCAGAGCTTTAAACCCAGAAGCAGCCAAGAGGCTCATATTTACTCTGGAGGAACAGCAGAGATCCACACCTAAGATGAAGGAATTCTTTAATAACTAATAAAAAAAAAAGGAAAAAAAAAAAGGAAAAGCTTCACAAGTCTGCTTTCTAAAATAAAGAATGGTAAGCAGAAAGCCATTGTAAAGGTAATAAGGAAATCTGTATTTTGCCTTTAACCACAAGCCATAAAAAAGACAGAAAATCTTTGACCTAGAGACCCAGAGAAAGGTATGTGTAGCACTGCGTATACACTATGCCCGCCATGAAACGCAGCTGTGCTGTGGGGGTTCTTCACTTCAACTGGAACAGGAAAGCGGGTCATAACTGATTGGGCGACGGATGGACCTAAATAATGGGCAATCCTAGGAGAAAACCAGTTCTAGTGTGAAAAAGCTTCACATTGCTGTTCAAAAGGATTACCTTTCTGCAGAAAAAAAAAACTAAAAATACATGGAATGGTTTAGATCAGCCTGTATTGGTCTGTTCGTTTAGGCTGTCAAAGTCAAGATAAAATTAAAGATAAAAATTAAGAAACTGGAGCAAAACCTAAAAACTCCCATTTAAAGAAATCATTAATACAATCTATGCTAAGGGGAACAGGCCAAAGGTTTTGTCATTAGACATGCAAAGCTGATAGAGACATGCCCCAAAGACCTGAAGATATAATGGCAAAGAAAAAAGAAGAAAAAAAAAGTTTTAGATTTCTTTCACTTCACAATGGTGCTTTGTGTTTATTACATAATTCCCACAGCAACACAAGTCTGTGGCTGCAAGGCGACAAAACATGAAAAAAAATTCTAACCAATATTTCTTCCACTTTGTGAATATTTTAGATTCTTCAAACTTTCAGAGACATCAAACCGAGTCTGACAGAAATCACATCAGAGTCATATTCACATTGTAGAATATCTTATAAAACAATAAAACACACAAGTCACACCTTTTAAACTTCCTTCTCTTTTTGGTAGAGTCTTCTGGGGTCTTGGATTGCCTTTCAGCAGTTTTTTGAGGTGTCTGCAGCATTGCCTGCGCAGATCTTAGCCAGTCATGGACAGACCTTTTGCTGCCCTCTCCAGTTTGGAGAGGAAAGACCTCAGAGTCCAGTTTGCTTGATGGGAGCGTGCCACGAACATCATCTCCATCAGAAACATAACCAGAGATCTCTGGCTCTGTCATCTAAGAATAGAATACAGGATGTGAAATTCTTCATGACTCAGCAAAGCAAAATGAACTGCATTAAACAGTTTATACAGACATGTTTCGGCTGATAGTAGGGCTTACATCGAAAAACATCTTCAAATACAGAAGAGGTGGATATGGTACACTGAAATACTGACAAATCCTGAAGATAACAAAACAAACTTCTTTTTTTTTTTGCTGCATCACTGCTTGGCACACCTGAGGAAATCTGTTCACATGGAAAAATCCACAAGCACCTGAGTTCCTGTCATGTGCAGACAAGACCAGCATACCAGGCAATGTCAGCCAATCTGTTCTCTTATTTGAATCAACTTGACCCTGGTGGGCAAAGTGCCAGCAGACGTCACACTCTAACCAGCTACAGGGAAGAAGGAACAAGATGTTCCTGGCCTAAGCTCAAAAATGTTTTCACCCAGCACTGAAAGCATTGTAAGTGCACAGCTCCACTTGCAGGCTTTTTTAAATACTAGAACAAACAGCAGTAAAACTACACTTGTAGTTCCTATGCTCTGGGTGGATGGAAGGGGGAGGATTTTGACCTCTTTGTATGCAGCGGTTTTAGGAGTCAGAACCATCAAAAAGCTTAATCTGGGAAGCAGCCTCCCTTGTAAAATTCCCTTCACATGCCAAGTCTCCTGCATGGCTCCGCTTGTCTGCTTTCAGCAGCAAATACAATAGCAACAAGTGTGACCGGCGAACACAGCCACTAAGAGCCATCAACTTTGTCCTGTATTAGGATCTTCCCTCTTTGTTTCCTGTCGGATCCAGCTTGATTTTCTAATCTTTCATGCACAAGGAATTCTATCTTAAAAAAGGTGCAGGTCAGTTTGTGCATAATTGTGCCGCAAATTAAATCAATATACATTTTCCATTTGTTAAACATGCTAAAACGGTTTAATATACACACTTAAAAAGGGTCTACATATGAATAACTAGAACCTTAAAGAGTCCATGCTCTGACCACAAACCTCCTGTGAGGTGATCTTTTTGACCCCGTAAAGCTGATAGCAGCAAACGAAAATTGTGACGAGAGGAAGTAGCTAAGGTCTGCGGGAGCGATGTTAATCTGTTGACGGCTTCCTCTTAACATGCAGCCTCCAGACTAAAAAAAATTAGCACAAGTTACAGGGGTGCATGAGTTCATTTATTTATTGTCAACAGGCCTAAAGCAGCTAATCCAGCAATCGCTGATAAAACATAAAAAAATAAACGTAATTAAACTAACTACAAAAAGGAAGTAATCAACCAAAATGTTCCAAACTAAATATAAGTAAAGGCTAAAATTAGATCAGGTTGAACCATCAATAGGTGAGTGTTTGCTTAAACCTGAGTCCGAACCATGTCCACTCCTTGTAAATTCCCTCCATGCCAGCCCTGCCTTTAACAAACATCTCCTGTGAATGATTTCTGAGAAAAACAAATCAGCTCCAATCTTCAATCCTACAAAGAGGGACTTTGGTAAAACTTAAATGTTTTTGCTTAAAAAGAAATAATAATTTGGGCACAGAGAGAAAACTTCTTATTAATTAGACCTGAAGCAATCATTAGAGCATTGACGGGGGGGAATTAATCAGAGGTGACATTAAAGCATTGACAAAGAGTGTTACCATAACAAAATGATTATTTATTATTTAAATCAAAGGGTAACCTAACATAACGCAGACTTTTTTTTAAGGGCGAGCAGCTTAAGGTTTAGCGCTTCTTTAAATAGATAGCAGCATTTTAATCATATGAATCTTTGACTTTTAGATTTTTAAACATTTATACAAATAACTAATTTGAATGATTGTATGGTTAGAAAATATACTCCCTCCAAGCAAGATTTTTTTTTCTTTTCTTGCTACCTCAGCTGTTAAACTTTGACACATTATAACCTGGGCTATAAAGTTAACACTGTAGCCTCATGGTCTAATAAGAACATAAGACTCCACCTAGTGGTGTCACAACGGAACAATCGCCAACAAAGAAAGCCAACAAAACAGGACTGACATAAAAACTTCACCTGAACCAGAACAGGAAATTTAACTCTTTTACTTTGAAATTTACAGCATTTTACTCTTTATCTGCCAGTAAAGCTCAATGCAATCTGTCATAATATGTAACAGCAAAGGATATGCATTCAGTTCCCTTATGTGCTCTATTATACATCAGGATGCAAAAACATACTCGCATAAGTCCTGTTGTTGTTGGGGATGACTCTGTGACTAAAAACAGCTAGAGGAAGCTAAAGCAGGCTGTTAGCTCCATCTAGTGTCCTTTTGCACAAACGACAAATTTTAAAGTGATCAAATCTCGCCCATCAAAAATAGTGCTGTACTTTCCCAAATAGTGTGAACCTGTGAGCCTTATATATATAAAGGAATTTGAACTGCCTTATAATGTTAATTCTGATGTGTAATAACCTCACATGTTCAGAACTGAGAGGACAAAGAACGGGGTTTTCTTCAGGAGAGTCCGACCCACAGTCTGAAATGTGTTGCCCGCCGTCCTGTTCAGCATCTTCCTGGGACTGATCCGGATCGCTGTCTGTTTCTATAGCAGGAAGATCATCTGCAGAGACAAAAAGAAAGAGCTAACTTTTTACAAAGCTGCAAACAGTATTAAAAATCTTTATTAGTAGACACAGAGACAATCCTTCAGCTATTATCAAGGATCAACAATTTATTCAGTAAATCAGCTAGATGACAGAAAGTTCTAGAAAGACTGCTGCCTGCATAAATAAACAAACCAAGAAAAAAAAACATTTTCATTAAGAAGATGCAGCATTTACATGCTTTTTACCTTGCCTGGTACAAAGAATAGCTCCTTATTTCATCAGCATATTTCTTAAGTAATGATATGTAATGAAGCTATGATCATGTAGAAAGGATTACATGTTTATTGATGTCAAATAATTTGTTTTCATAGTGAAAATATTTTTTTTAGAATTATAACTGGATTGTACAGACCAGCAGATATTTAAAAATCTGGTGGATGATATTTAATGGGAATTTTATGCCAGAGACCCACACAAAGTAATACAGAATTTGAAAACTTAGGAAAGTAATAACCAGTTCTCTTTTTACTTTTTTTAAATTTCTAAAATGTAAAATGTGTGAAGTACTTTATAACAGAAGTCTCAGAGAGGCATGTTTCTACCAGCTTTGCTCACATAGAAAACCAAATCTATCCCCATTCCTTTTTGCTAAATTAGTGAAGCTTGTTTGTGTTGGGCAGAGAGCGTCTTATGAGCAATTTTAGATTATTGCCATATATTCAAAGGTGGATATATGTCTGGACTTTGAACGCTCCATTTCAAACCAGGAATATGCTCCGACTCATACAGCAGCTCTGTCACTCCTGGACTTTCTTTTGAAGGGAAGGCTATTTCAGTATTTTCAAGTTATTGCATCCATCCATCCTCTAACCATATCTTCATTATGTCTCGGAAGAACTGGATTCCCACAGCATTAAATTACACACTGGTCCACCCCATTCATTTGTTCTGTTTATTCTTAATGTATTAAAGGAAAAAGGAATACATGTGCAAACAATGCTTTTGATTTTTTGTTAAAAAACAATAAACATTTTTTCCAACCATTTTACAATTTTGCACTACTTTGTGTTGGTTTATAATATAACACGCAAAAAAAAATGAAATTTGTAGTTATTGCATGACAGCTTTGCAAAGTATTGCATAAAACTATGGATCCAAACTAGCTGTGATGTGGGCTTGCTTCAATCTGCAAAGTCATGATAAAAGAGAAAATATGAGCAAAGAAATTAGATTACTTTCTAAAAATTCTTTATTGCCACTTTATTCACTCGTGTAAAGTCGGGCACCACCCGGGAGAATTCGGAATTGTAACCGTTGGAACTGCCGCTTCCCTACGACTTTAAAAGGCCTTCCCTCTCAGGAGCGGGTACAAGGTTGTGCATGTGCTCCTTTTTTCTAAGTACAGAGAGCGGGTCTTTGTGAAAATCCTCCACAATACCTTTAATTAGGCTGGTGGATTTAACACCATTATGCAGCCTAAAACTCTCAAAACATTAAATCAAAACTCTTTGGAAAAATGCTATAGTTCTGTACACAATTCACAAACATTAGCAAACAAAAACATCTTACTTTTAACATAATGGTGCTTGACAAAGCAATCCAAGACTTTTCTAAAAGGCTGATTGCTTAGTTTGGCTAAAAAACGTCAGCTGATTTCAAAGGAGAGTCAAGGTTTCCACACACTGCTGTAATCAGCATGTTCCAGAAGTTTACGCTATTTTATAAACAGCCTTTCAAACTAGAATAAATGAAATGGAATGAGATGAAACTGTTAGAGCAAGTGTTAAAGATGAATTAAGTTTGAGGAAAATAATTGTAATGTTGGAGCGCATTACACGACTTTATTATTATTTTTTGTTTATTATTATTATTTAAAAAAAAACTTAATTTCTTTTTCTAGAAAATGACATATCAACTTTGTGCTGGTTCAGCACAAAGCTGGTATCATTACATTACATCCATGTATTGCTAAAGTTATCATAAACAAGTTACCTCCTCTTAATGGGTCAAAAGACGATTTGAATGCTTAAGTTCAGAAAAAATATTGTCAGACTTAAATCTTCATCAAGTCGATGCAGAATGCAATTTGAAGGTCAAAACATCTGATCTTGTGCAGTTTAAGTTAACACAGTGTATGGTTGGTACATCCATATTTTCCTTAAAACAGGGATTGTTTTACAGACTAAATTCCATCAAAAAGAAGACAGTAGAGACACATTACAACTTTTCTTTCTAAAATTCTTTCAAAAACAACTATGGCTCTCTTGACTAAAATATAATAGAAAAACACCTACAGTCTAAAAAGATGAAATGCAAATGTGTAAAAATTCCTCTGCCCAACAGGTCTAGGAAGCTCTTTGGCTTACCTTTGTCAGCAGTGAGCATTTTGAGAACAGCTGAGTAGGACTGAATCAGAGTGTTCGGTCTTCGTGGCCTTTGAGCTGGTGCTCGCTGTTGAGAAACAGCTTTGGAGTGATTGTGTACTCGATTCTCATCATCAGATGGTTCAGTATCACTAGAGCTCCAGGCGATATCCACTGGGTCCTCATCAAGGCTATAAGAACTGCTCTGCACTGGGAAATCAAAAAGATATAGGAAAAAAAAGTCAAAATACAGGAAACAGCAATATAACAACTAATAACTGGCAGAGAATCAGATTTTTTTTTTTTTAATTATTAATCTGATCAGATTTATATCTGATCAGACATCTGAGACAAAACCTTTGATACTTTAGATACACTCCAGTAAGACCAAGAAAAATGAAATATGTCAGGGTTTCTTACTTGTCAAATCATGTCAATACATGTCAAATCCCTTTACCCTCACATCTAATTATAAGAACACTTTATTTTCTTCCTGGAAAGCAGTAATGGAGTAAACAAACTATATAATGATCTGATACTGTTTAATTTACAGAGAGATCCTAACAATTTAATAGGTCAAACCTACTATTGAGCAGTTCAGTGTTGTTCTGTCTATCAAACATGGGTTATTTGCACTTCTTTTTTTAAAATGGGAATTGTAATGTATTATATGTTTTAATTCCATATTATAATGTATAATGTATTAAGGAGAGGGGCCAGGGTTTATTTTACAGGGGCACAGAACAAAAAGAATAACACAAAAAAAACAAACAGGGCAAGAGTACATCATTAAGTTTTCAAGAGATGAAAACTGTGATCTAATCTTGATAAGACTGTAGCTAAAAGTTAACTGCAGGTTTAAAAATAATTGTTCAAGTAAACCGCAAAATAAAAATATTCAGTTGGTCAAAACAGACACATCAGTAATGACTTTCTATGTCAGGGCATAACGATTTTACGAAAGGGATTTAGTGCTACACTGAAAAAACTGATGTAAAAGTTACATTTTTTAGTGTAGTGTAGTTTTTTAAGTGCATTTCCCTTTAGTTCAAGCAGGTAAATAAGATGATCTTCCATAGGAATCAGTATGTATGCTCTAAAAAATAAAATAATTAAAACATCATTAAGTTCTACTTACATCATGGATATTTTCAACTTAAATCATCATATACCGTTGGTACACTGTCAACCTAACCTGCTCAAATGCAAGGCTGTCAACTCTCACCCATTGGGAGTGAGACTCATCCATATCAGCGTCTTCACACACCCTCACTCTATATTCCCAATATCTCACACTAAAAAATGACAGACATTAAAACTCAACTTTGTTCCACTTATTTATTTATAAAAATACCATGGTGGACATCAAATTATTTGTTTTCTCTTTAACAGAACAACTCACTTATCCAGGAGTCATAGAGGAGGAACCAGAGGGATGTTCTCATTTTATAATTTCGTATCTTATTTTGTATTCCTTATTTTGGTCCATTGAATATGTTTACTTAATTTCCATCACATTTTCCAAACGAAACATCCACAGAAATGCTGTCTTGTGTCACTGTGAGTTTTTATAAAATCTACAGCCTCATGGAAAGTCTGAATTCTTTAGCTGTTTTGTCAACTGTAAGAAAAACTAATGACGCAATAAATGAAGATTTTTAATAGTTTGAATGATTTTCGATTCCACTGGTTCCTGTATTAGTGTCAGTAATCCAGTAATAACTTATTAGTTCCCCAGTGTTTATTTTACTTGAACTGCAGAGAATAATCAATAAATAAAGTGTGCAGAGAATAATCAATAAATAAAGTGTGCAGAGAATAATCAATAAATAAAGTTGTGAAATTCTTAGTTTACAGCATATTTAAGATGCAAGTATTTTAGTGGGGGCCTATACTTCTTTACTTCAATTCTCTAAAAATCAATAGAATATAAAATATAATATATATTGTAAGAAAATGTTTCCACATAACCATGGATCACTTGTTGTTCAGTAACATTTACTGTGCTATAAATATTTTGCCGCTTAGTTTCAGTTGAATGCTCTGAAAACCTCCAAACTCAGCCTTTTGATCGAAGCCTCACAGGGTTTCCTGTCCAAACTAATACAAAATTTAACCCCAAGGTTTGGTGAAAAGTTGGCAGCCCTGCAAATGGCAAATAGTTTCTCCAGTTGACTTATGTACCTTTTAATTTTTGTACTGTATGTTTTCAGCACTCTCGCCTCTAGTCAGCTGGAGATAGGCACCAGCACCCCTCGCGACCCCATTTGGGATTTAAGCGTGTAAGAAAATGGATGGATGGATGTTTTCAGTACAGGGGCCAGGACCAGTTCTACGGGGGTCACTGGCCCCTGCTGGCCCCTGTCTAGAAGCGCCCATGTCAGAGCAAAAGCTGTGGATTCTGGATGCATTACCTAAAGCAGGTCCATGTGCCAACTTCCTCACAACAGACAGCTTTTTCCCTGAAGACTTTAAGCTCTGCAACAAAAGTATAAAAACCACAGGGACAGACAGTTAGATAACAATCATGCTAACAAGGGAATATAGTCTGGTTAATGGATTGGTGGGAAGATTTGTCACCGGGCTGTCCAAAAAACTGTCCCCACAGGTTGCCCAGCTCCTGGCGGATAAGAGTGATGCAGTTTTCCTCTCTATTTTCTGGGGAGCACTTTCAACAGCATTCGGAAAGGAGAGACACTTCATGTCTTTGGAGGACAACCTTTTACGCTGGCAAAGATAGACAGAGATTAAACGACATAGCTGACAATACAAAACTTATTTGTGAACTTACTTTGTGTTTTCAGTATTTAATGAATAGTTTTATTAATAACTAAATACTAAATATGTTTTTACTACTTGGCAGGCAGGTAAACTCCTCTAACGTGTCAAGAGAAGCCGGTTGCTAAAGCAAGTGAAGCTCGGCTACCAAGCTAGTTAGCATCCTTCTTACCTTCCTAGAAGACATGGTAGCAAAATACTGTAGACCTGCAGCGTAGAAATCTTGTTTCTATACACGTCTTTTAGTATCGTGATTCTATAGCATATTTTTAAACAGTTTCTGATGTTTGCAGCCTGACAGGTGTGCGGAAGAAGCTAACAGAAAAGTTTAGTTGTTCCGTTAGCTCAACGGCTAATAAAAGTGTTTCATTTATGGGCAGCGTGTCCCGGAGGCGGGCGGAGTCTTCTTGAGTTGCACAACCAGGTCCTGGTTAATCCAAAGGTGGTCTGTTTACTGTAGCTTAATAGTAAATTGATTTAAGATGTAGATTTTATTAATTCCTTTCTTAAAATAAGATTTATTCTAAAAAATAAAACTTCCACTTTCTTTACTCTATGAGATAAACAGAATATTTCTATTGATGTGATTTTTTTCCCTCCATTTAATAACAGTTCAGTCTAGTAACCAATTTATTATAATGACTTTCTTGGAAATCATAGTAAAATCATTATTTATTAGGACACATTAAGTTAATGTTTTGCTTTTTGTTCCTACTGGGAGGACTTCTACATTATTTCATAATTTCACATGCATAGCCTACATGGTTTTAACATTTTATTCTTTTTTAAACATTTCAGAAGTCACACAGGTTCATGGTCAGCACAACTAAGTCAGTACTTGAACCATTTTCTGCTGCAGTTGCCTCTGCATGTTTTTTTGAGGTATGTCTTCCTACTTTGAACACCTAGACAATCATCTTTTTTCACATTTTGTTTCCAGGTCTTTCTTTGAATTATTTATGCAAATCAAAGATAATTAACCATAACTGCTTCCAACAAAGTCAACGTATTTTTTATCACTGCTGTTTTGTAGACAGTTGGTGTTTGTTATACATATAGACACTTTGCATATTTCTTTTAAATGTTCATTGTCAGTTGCACACTTCTTTCCATATTTTCACTATGATTTGTCTTAATGACTGATTACTGTGCAGAGTAAAATGTTTCTAGTTTTTTTTCCCCTACTTTAAAGTCTTATCATTTATTTCTATATTTCTTTTCCAGGTGTTTATCTGCATGGTTCCATGAGACTTTTTACTTTATTGTTGATGTGATTTTTCCATCGGAGTGACATTAAAGGTAAAGTAAATATGTTTAGGTCTGGAGTTAAACTGGGCCAATTTTAAACAAACACAACTATGCTTTCATAGAAACCCTTCCATCAGCTGTGCAGTTGAAGGGAGAAACTCCACCCCAGGCTCTTAAATGTTTGTTTTTTTAATAGCATTTAGCTTCATCTATCTTTACACCAGTAGTGATGAGTTTCTACATGGCATGATGGTGCCACCTACATATTTTGCTGTTTAGATGCCACTTTAGAACAAGTCGATGACGAAAAGTGCCATTTTGCTCTCATAGCAAGTCTCTACCTTGTACAGTTCTATCACAGAGGCTTGGACTGGTAATCTGTGATACTGGGGATTTGGGCCAGTCCTACTTTCAGCATGCGAGGGCTGGCCCTCCTTAAATCATACCGGCCCCGACATTTACTCTCTGTCCTACTTGTGACAGTAAATAAACTCAAGAAGCTCAACAAGTAATACAATGTTAACTACCTATATGATGCATGCAGTATATACGTATAGCCCTTCCTTGTCATGCACATGCTTGTGACGGTTGGCGTATGCTGTAATTTTGTATTTCTTCAAACTGTAAAATCGTTGCAACAAACTAAATTATAATAAAACTAAAACGCTTTCTTTAAACCAAACTACGATGTTCCTATTATATTTGGCAAATTAATGTGAAATGAATATTTTTCAAAAATATGTTGCGGTGCATGATGGGGTTTCACATATAAAGGCTAACGTTTCCCGCCTTACATGCATTGTTGCCAGGTTGGGATGTTTCCCAATCTGGCAGTAAGCGGGCCGGTGTAGATGGAAAAATGCCAGAGCTGAAAATCGTTCCCAGTCCAAGCCTGCTATGACATAACACTCCAAAAAAATATAAAGGAAATTTTGGTTTAAATTATAAAATATGGAAAGATTTAAAGGGTAAAATACTCAGATCAAACAAATACAGTAAATACCATATTTTCTGTACTACCGTATAAGGCACTTTGTTTTTTTTGCCCGCGCTTAAAACTATGCGGCTTATAAGAAGGTGCTGCTTTTCTGTGGATTTTTCCTAACCGCCAGAAGGGGAAGTCAAAAATGGAAATGAAAGAATAAGGGCTAATTTTCATTTATACCAAAAGAACATGCTAGCAGCTAGCACAACGGAGAACAAATATCCCCAATTAACCATTTTTTACATTTGCCACATTAAAGCTGTCAAAGCAATGAAGTGACTGAGCTCAACTCCAGCACAGCTGAAATAAAGAGCCAACAAAACGAAGCCCCATCTTTCAGTAGAACATCTTACTGCTGCTAGCCAACAAGCTTATCAGAGCTAGCATTATCCTTTGTCCCTACTCTAGGGGCTATATGTAGAGCTCCCCCTACAGGTTTAGTGGGAGACCGTACAGTAGATATTAGCAGCTTAGGTTGGCGCGGCCTATATATGTACGTTTACAATTCTTCAAAAAAAATGTAGTGGCTGCAGCTTCGGTTCACTCTTTAGTCTGCAAAATACAGTGATTGCAGCTGTGAGTAATGTCACGTTCTGTTTAAAGCTACAGGACACCTCTTCTGTGGACTCAAAATGTAATTTTATTACAGCACATCCACTCAAATTGTTATATCTTTCAGACAGCAAGTTCAACATACACAAGCTGACTTAACATATCTGTTTTTTATTAAATATGTAAAAAGCAGGTCAAGTTATTCACAAATAAAATGCAAACATGCAACACATTTCTGGGGGAATGCATAACGAATGGGACATGGAAGAAGAAAAAAACAAAAAACATTTAACCATTCATTAATTATTGACAGTACATGTTTACATTCCTTTTTCATTTACACAATAGTATAGAACTAAAGCATCATGTGTGCTGCTCAGCTCAATATTAGTAAATACAATATTAAGAAAGGGTACACAATGTACTAACTGGAATATAATGAGGCAACCTGCTCAGTGAACTGACTCATCTTTCTAAGACCTGTGGTTTAAAAAAGAAAAACTCTAAAAATACAAACTGAGCGCTGAGATTGAGAACCTAAAAAAGAGGCTGCTTTATCATAAGACTAATTCTAGTCAGGTTCTAGCTGTTCTGCTCCAATAAAACATCGTTCGACACACGGATTATCTGAAATCTTGTAATTGTGAGGACAGCTGTTGTGTCAAACAGTCACAAGTTGGCATTTTACTACATTTTATTCATAACTCTGTAACAGAATAGCCCTCCTTCATGAGGATGCAATGCAGAGTTTTGCTCTTTCTAAGGCTTAATAATAATAATAAATACGATGAGAATCTATGGACAGATTGTCCAGAACAGAGTCAATGTCAGTGCAACAAATGGGAGAAGGTTAAATAAGAGCTACTACGAGCCCTTCCAGGGCTTTGCTTATTGCATTCTTGTGGTTAATATTGATATGCAGAATGACACTGAAATAAAAAAAGTAAAATAGAGTTCAACACTTGTAATGACAGGTAGAGTTTACCTGCTTAAACTTCAGCATATTATCACATCTACTGCAGGAATTGAAAGGATTTTTCACCCACACAGTCTGTGAAAATTTCTGTGATGGTCTGAGCTTGTCTGCTAGCGGAGGTCATGGGCGCAGACCTGCCACAAAAGTTCACAAAAGAGTCACAGAAACACAGAACAGTGAGCAGAGAAACAAAAACTGAAAATTCAAAACCCTGTCATGGTACTTTTATCCAGAAGGTTGCTTCATGTGCTCATTCTTGGAGAGAACAACAAAAATAAACAGCGAGGAGAAATAAAAAAATCTTTGACAGTTCTCACATAATAAAAAGAGGAGTTTTTGATTGCGGTGGGGGACGATGGCAGTCAGTATTCGTCTTGTTCTTCTTGCGGATCTTGTGATGTTCCCTCAAGGGCTTGCTGGTCCGCTTCCTGCCCGTCACCCTCAGCCAGCTCCACCCGATCCTAAAAAAGGAGATGCTGAAGCTGAATAACTGTTTGATGCAACCTCATGCGACTTATCTCATCAAAAAGGACAAAAACGTTATCTGATTTTTTTTTACCTACCAAGAAGGAGCATCCTAAAAAAACGATTTCAACTTGTTATTTGGATTTCCATATTTCTCTAAACTCAGATTTTTAGATCCCTACTTTTTTTTTTTTTTTAGTTTCTACGGCACTAGTGGTCCGTTTTGTGGACAGTAAGCTGACAGGAAAGGGGATATGAGAGAGCGGGAGAGACATGCATGAAAGGACCACAGGCCAGATTCGCCCCCAGATGCCTACTTTTTAGCCATTTTTAAAGCATGAGTAAAAAATTTTAATTTTGTGGTAAGAGAAGAATGACTATCACTTTTGATTATGGTCAGATTTCAAATATGGTATAAAAATCTAAAGGCAGTAAAGAGATGAAATAGACATTTCAATATTTCACTAATACAATTGGAAATCACATTTGAAAAGCATTTTCTGAATGGAAATTTTTACTTATTTTGAAGACTGCAGGTCCAATCCAACCTGAATCTAAAGTTCTCTTATATTCAAAAAGCATTTTTCTGGGGAATTTATTTCTTAATGATTTTGCATTTAGCCGGGAAATCAAAAACAAAATGCGGTTGGATAAAACATTAATCAAGGTGTGATATGACAAATTAAAGGATTAATCACATTATTTAAAAATAAAATAAAATTTTTTATATATATATATATATATATATATACAAACTATTTCTTTTAGGCAAACCGTTCAAAGCCTGGAAAATCTACATAAAATTCCATAGTTTTCCACACTTTTCAAGACGGTATGAACCACCTATTTACAGGAAAAAACATGTTAAAACAGTAAAACAAAGTGGTCTACACTGAAGCTGACCTGTTCGTCTGAAGCATAGAGGACCTCCATTAGCCGCTCGACAAACGGACCGTTTTCTTCCCCCTGTTCCTGGCACAGCATCTCCACTTCTCGCAGCTTGCTGAAGTAGTAGTCCCGCTCTTTCTCAACCCCTTCCAGTGCCAACTTTAACGTGTTCATCTAAAAATAGACAAAAAAAATAAGGATGAAAACAGAAGTTTGAATCAGAAAGCAGAAGG